AGGTTGGCGATGCGTCGCGTTTCCGGGTCCGGGGATCTCGAGCTTTGTCCGCGATACGTCTGCGGACAAGCTCTCCTCCCGTGCTGTTCCCTGCGTCTTCCTCGGCTTTGTCCCGGACGCGCCTGGTTGGCAGTTTTACCACGCCACCTCGCGCCGAGTCTTGCCCTCTCGGAAGGTCACTTTTGACGAGTCCGTCCCCTACTACCGCCTCTTCCCCTACCGCACTTCCCCGCTCCCCCCCCGCCTCTCTTCCTCGCGCCAGGTGCTGCTGTCGTAGACCCCCTCCCCCCTCAGGGTGCCGCTCCCTCAGGTGTGTCTCAGGTAGACCCGGTTGAGCCTGTTGAGGTAGCTGTCGACTCTCGTCCTTCTACGGGTGTGGAGCCTGGGGGTGCTGAGCCTGGGGGTGCTGAGCCGCAGAGTCTTGAGTCTGGGGGTTCTGAGTCGGGTTGTGCTGCGCCTGGGAGTCCTACACCTGGAGGAGCCCTCTCCTCGGAGGAGCTGCGTGAGTGGTACTTACAGTACTGCAGCCTCAAGAGAGGTACCTCTGGAGCCAGGCGTACTACTGGGACTGGTGCTAGTGCTTCTCCTCCTAGTCGGGAGCTCCCCTCTCGTGAGCGGATCTGTGAGTGGTACGAGCGGCGCTGCAATCTTCGGAGTGGCGTGCCTGGTGTCACGGACCCCGCTACTGCTGGTAGTACTGCTGGTACTAGAGACTCTACTGGTGCTGCTGGTGTTGCGGCCCCAGAGATTGGAGCTACGTTTAGTGCTCAGGACCCGGACGCTGGTGCTGCTGCTGGTGCTGAGGGCCCGGGCATTGGAGCTGCTGCTGGTGCTGAGGACCCGGGCATTGGAGCTGCTGGTGGTGCTGCGGACCCGGGCGTTGGAGCTGCTGCTGGTGCTGAGGACCCTGGCGCTGGTGCTGCTGCTGGTGCTGAGGACCCGGGCGTTGGAGCTGGTGCTGGTGCTGAGGACCCTGGCGCTGGTGCTGCTGCTGGTGCTGTGGAGTCGGGCGTTGGAGCTGCAGGTGGTGCTGAGGACCCGGGAATTGGTGCTGCTACTGGTGTTGCGGACCCTGGCGCTGGTGTTTCTGCTGGTTTTGGAGTTGCTGCACGGCGGCGGCCGTACTTCGTTCCGCTCCTTCAGCAGGTTCTTGGTCAGCTCCCTCCTCCTTGTCCTCCTCCCTCCTTAGGGTGTCCTCCGTCTGTCCAGCGGCAGTCGCAGCTACCGTTTGCCTCCTCTCTCCCTGGTCCTGCTCCTTACACTGGTCCGACTGGAGGTCTTACTGAGCGTCGTGCGCCTGAGTCTCGTCCTGCGTCGCCTGAGTCTCGTCGTGTGTCGCCTGTCCGTGCTGCTCTCACTGTAAGTCGTGTCCCGAGTCAGTGTCCTCTTGCTGTCCCAGGCACTCACCGGATGGCGCTTCGTCCTTTCACTGCTCCACAGCGTGTCCCACTGCCGTCTCCTCCTGCGTCCTCTCTTCCTGCTTTTGCTAACCCGGAGTCAGACTCCCTTCATGCTGCTAGTCCTACTGTCACGCGTCTCCTAGCTACTGTTGTCACTGACCCTTCCTTTGAGTCCGCCGCTGCGTCTGCCTTAGCTGCTGAGCTTGTCGACTTTGCTGCCACCTGTCGTCTAGACTACGCCGCTAGCCTAGTTGCTGAGTCAGAGTCTGTCTCTCCTCCGTCCGTCGGGGGTGAGTGTGCTCTTGGCACTGACGTCCTTGAGGACAGGCAGGAGGAGTTTGAGTGCTTTGCTGCCGCTTTGCCCCATCTCGTGTCCATGCTTGTTGCCCCTGAGGGAGACTCGGATGCACCAGACATCCCGCCCCCACGCTCTTACGCAGAGGCGATGGCCGGTCCCTACTCTTCTCAGTGGCAGACAGCCATGGACACAGAGATGGCTTCCTGGAAGTCCACAGGCACCTACGTCGACGAGGTTCCCCCACCTGGGGCGAACATCATCAGTGGCATGTGGATTTTCAGGGTGAAGCGGCCGCCGAGCTCTCCACCTGTCTTCAAGGCGCGTTACGTTGCACGAGGCTTCAGTCAGCGAGAGGGAGTTGACTTCTTCCAGACCTTCTCCTCGACCCCGAAGATGACCACTCTTCGGGTTCTGCTGCACGTCGCCGCTCAGCGTGACTACGAGCTCCACTCTCTTGACTTCAGCACTGCTTTCCTACAGGGCAGCCTGCACGAGGAGATCTGGCTGCGCCGCCCACCTGGCTTCACTCGGTCGTTCCCTCCTGGTACCCAGTGGAGCCTCCGACGGCCGGTCTACGGTCTCCGCCAGGCGCCACGTGAGTGGCACGACACACCTAGGACTACGCTTGCGGCTCTTGGGTTCGCGCCTTCTATTGCTGACCCGTCGCTGTTTCTACGCAACGACGCCTCACTGCCGCCGTTCTACATCCTCGTGTACGTCGACGACTTGGTCTTTGCCACTGGTGACACTGCGGCACTCGCCCACGTGAAGTCGGAGCTGCAGAAGAGACACACGTGCACAGACCTGGGTGAACTGACAAGCTATCTTGGCTTGCGGATCACGGACAGAGCACGCCGCACCATCACCTTGACTCAGTCACACATGGTGCAGTAGGTCCTTCAGCGCTTCCGCTTCACGTACTCCTCCCCTCAGCCCACTCCTCTGCCTACCGCTCACTCGCTCTCAGCTCTGCCTTCGGATGAGTCCGTAGAGCCGAGTGGCCCGTATCCAGAGCTTGTGGGTTGCCTCATGTACCTGATGACCTGCACTCGACCTGACCTTGCATACCCTCTTAGCATTCTTGCTCGCTATGTCGCTCCCGGCCGTCACCGGAAGGAGCACATGGATGCAGCTAAGAGGGTGTTGCGCTACTTGTGCAGTACGTCGGGCATGGGGCTAGTGCTTGGAGGGCGAGTCCCAGTTGTTCTCACTGGGCACTCAGACGCTTCTTGGGCAGACGACCAGGCTACTCAGCGGTCGTCTCACGGTTACTCCTTCAGTCTTGGCTCTCGTTCTGTTTCTTGGCGTTCTACTCGCTCTTCTTCTGTTCTCAGCTCCAGTTGTGAGGCTGAGATCTACGCCACAGCCATGGCGGCCCAGGATCTACGCTGACTCACCTACTTGCTGACCGACCTTGGAGAGCAGCCTTGTTCTCCTCCACTGCTGTACGTCGACAACAAGGCAGCCATTGCCTTGTGTGAGGAGCACAGACTGGAGCACAGAACGAAGCACATTGCTCTGCGCTACTTCCTTGCTCGAGAGTTGCAGCGGCGTGGTCAGCTTCGTCTGCGTTACGTGGCCTCTGAGGCCAACACTGCTGATGTGTTCACCAAGGCGCTTCAGCCTTGTGACCATCAGCGCTTTTGCACTCTTCTAGGCCTTGTGCCTACTGTACCTCACTTGCTTATTTCTTGAGTCTGTTTGTAGTGTGATCTCTATATGTATATACCTGCATGTTTACTCTTGCTAGGTTGTGATCATTGTACATCTTGTTCTATTATAAACCTGCTTGTGAACTGGTCTTGTGACCACTTGCTTGTGCTCGAAATTTGTGTGGTATCCTTGAGATCCACCCTGAGCTTGTTTTGTCTTGCTTTGCCTTGACTGGTCTTGTGACCCCTAGTTCTCCCCCACTTCACCTATGGGGGTGTGTCAAACATTATATATGTTGTTGTTCTTGTTTAGGCTACAGTGGGTTAGTCTATAGGGGGTACACAATTCTAGGGTTAGGTACTTGTACTGTTTTCACTGATAGTTCCATCATTCCTGTTCAGTTATTCAACATTAAGGGTTGACCTGTTTCTGAACATACTTTTGTCAGCTTGTTGGGTGTTTAGATTTGGGCTAGTTGCGGCGCTGGTTCGGCACTACTTCGAGGGGGTGCGACTCACCCTGCCCTAATTCGGCCACTTTTCTGCTGTTCTTCGGTCCCAAATTGGTTATTTCCGTCGATATTTCCGTTACCCTCCTCCATCGCATGCCCTCGTCACTTCTAATATCGCTCGCTTGCCACGTGTCGAGCAGCAGTGTTCACGTGCTATCAGAATGCAGTATGGCGCACGAATCATGATTCGTGGAGCTCGCTACTCCACTGTTTTCCAAAACGCCATGTCCTAGAGATGTCCTCGATTAGAGTCCACGTGAAAAACACGCGCACTGCGGGCCTTTGTAAAAAACCCACAAACCCTGGGCAAAAGGGAACTTATAGTCCCATAGAAGGAAAATTGCATGAAGAACGTTTTTCCTTCGCTACTAGTCATGTTTTCCTGTCACATACGTACATTAAGACTAGGCTGTTTTCAACTTATCGTTGCACGGTTCGCCTCGTTGATTAGTGTTGCAGGAAAAACGGGCAGAAAAATACAAAATAGAATATGTTTAATGCTGAAATGAAAGACAACATTTTTGGTTCTACACTGTAAGCGAGTTTAATGAGATGGCATCATCGGAGCTCGCAGGGAACCGCGCGACAGGATTCGGACACAAGCGCGGTCAAGATAAACAGACAATCACAACTGCAAAAGTAAATAGTGAATCAAAACTTCCTTTCGTTTTATTCTCCGTGAATGCTCTGACTGGTTCGATTTGCGTTCTCTGATTGACTGCGGAACTGATTCGTGTAGTGATTCAGATCGCATTCCTGGTCGGGACACCATCCGAAGTAGGGACACGCGGTTCGCAATTTCGAAAATTGTTCAATGTTCGGCCACGCGGTACGAGATCGGGACACGTTGGGACCTGACGGTTTAGGGTATGTGCGACCATTTGCGCGTCAAGTGGCATACTGTCTGATCGTGGCATGAAAGGGGCATTGCAGTGCGTTGGAGCTGACTTGGCGCAAACGTGCCAGGCAACCAGCTACATCTACATGGTCCTGCCCACGATTCCAATCGGGCGCCCCCAAGTCAAAAAGTTGAAGTTGGCAGCCCAAGTCAATCGGGCATTTTATTTTTGAAACAGGCTGGATGGCAGGTTCTGCCGTTAAAGCTGGCGCCCATTATGTTGTCGCTTCTCGTCGTTTTATGTCATTTCGATACCCCAATTTGTTGGCGACCCCCAAAAAATCGCAACATGCAAACGACGCGTGCGACCTCGATCGCATCCAAAATGTCAGAGGTGGGGCCCTGCCCCAATAGGGACACCATCCGCGCGCTAAATCCGTTCGGATGGGCAAACTTCGGATGGTGTCCAAACCGGGAATGCAAGATTTCCCGCCGAAAAGGGGACTGTAGAGGAGGGGATACAACTAGGACTTATGTGAAAAGTCTGCTCGTTGAGGAAATGGGACTCTTTTAGGAAGAGCCTCTAAGCCAGAACGTCTGTACAAAGAACTGGACGGTTGCTATACAGGCTGCATCACTATCTTCGGAATAATGGTCTGCATAACTGGTTAGCATTCATGCATTGCGGCTGATTCAGATAAACTTTCTTTCTCGAACATGGGCACTCAGGTACTTCTCTGCGCTTCTTTTCCACTTGTTCAGTTCCCTTCGCGTAACCTCCGCTTTTGAGCGTTAGCTTACGTACGGGATCGATGGGTGTGCGTGTGTGCGGCGAGGGTGCAGAGGAACGTGAGGGTGGCGGTGGCGGTGGACGGCAGCGACAACAGCATGCACGCGCTGCGAGAGGCGGTGCGGCTCTTTGCGCGCACGGCTAAAGAGTTTACCATCATTCACGCGCACAAGCCGCTACTGGTATCCTCCTCAACCAACTGGCATTAAGTTCCCCATTCTGCAAAACAAGTGTAGAGTTGTTATAGTTATGGTCCTCTTGGCGCTAGCTTTGCACAGGATTTTTCTTCACGTTGTTCATCTGATGCGCGACTGTACCCTAAAAAAACACGTCCCAGGTACTAGCATTGTCCTTTGCCGTTTTCCCTGAGAATGCTTGGCAGAACTCCGCACGGAGCGCTACCAAGACTGGAGTGATGCTGTCATGGCAGGAGAATCACGAACGCATGGAGCACGAGAGGCACGCTAAGGCGCAGCAGTTGCTGCAGCGGTGCGCTGCCTTGGTGAAAGAGGAGGTTGTCAAGCGGGGGATGGGTGAGGGCGTGGTGGTAAGGGGCGTGGATCTTAAGGGCGACCCTCGAGATGTGCTGTCGACCCATGCGCAGAGCATCAGTGCGGATCTACTGGTGATGGGAACCCGCGGCTTGAGCATGCTAAAACGGTGAGGCTCCCTAAACCGTTACTCGTGCACAGAGAGAATAGCTCGCTCATTGGTTGTATTATTCTCTTCCTGTTCCTCCCGTTTTCTCCCTTTCCTTCCCCACATCTCGTTCTATCCGCAGCTTGGCTCTTGGGAGTGTTAGCACCCACTGCATGCACCATGCTCCATGTCCGGTGCTGGTTGTCCCGCTGAAAGCCGACTCAACACACGAGCCCTCAGCACCCAAAGCAGATGTCACCCAGGCAGCAGCGTCCGAAATCGAGACCCCTGCATAAACTGGTGTATGTACACGGGCTAACTCGCGTCCATCATTGCGTAGCAGACATCACTGCACTGGGGCAAAAGCATCTCAACCTTTAGAGCCTGCGTGCGGATTGGGGGTGTAAACCCTGAACGTACACACAGGGTCCCACCAGGTAGCACTAGACGATGTTGCATGCCAACAAGGGGGGAGTTGGAGAATCCTCATCTTCCTGCCTTGTATGTACTACTGAGAAGGTGCGTGACTCGTGAGGGTGGATATATGTATCAAGGTGATTTGTTTTGTCGGTTTTGGCAAGTACCCTAATTATTGAAAGGCACTGGTAGGTGCATGGTCAGCAGATTTTCAGGCTGTGCCTTCTCTGTTATCCTTGTATGCCACATGCCACGCCATAGGGCTTAACTGGACCTCAGTTTGGGCCTCTGTTTGAAGCAAGAGTGCACTCTATAAGAATGGACTCTTAGCCGGCAGAGGTGTTTGGAGTCTAGGGTTTAGGGTTTAGGAAAGAACAAATGTTTCAATGATGAAGTGTTGAAACAGGGTTGGCCAAAGAGGGTGATTCAATATTGAGCAGGGTATAGGGAAGAACATGCAAGGAAATAAGGTGCACCGCCTAGAAAACATAATAATTGCACCGCAACTACAAGCAGTTATTAAAGATATAAGACATATTTCGACACACCCCCATAATTGCTTGTAGGAAGAAGTGTAGTTACGCCCTCTAAAGGGGTACACCATGCAGAGTGCGCAGCCGAAGAAGGAGAGAAGTACCAAGGAGGAGGTGAATGAGGGATGAGGAGAGGAGGTGGGGGGGAGCCACGCGACGAACCCCTCTTACGAACCCCCGTTTTACTAAGGGGGGGGGGGGTGGGGGTGAGAGGGGGATGAGGAGAGGAGGTGGGGGAGCCACGCGGCGAACCCCTCTTACGAACCCCCATTTTACAAAGGGGCGGTGAGAGGGGGATGAGGAGAGGAGGTGGGGGGAGCCACGCGGCGAACCCCTCTTACGAACCCCCAAGTCCATACCCCCTTTCAGCCACCCTAATAAACCTCGCCGCCGTTGTTCAGCCGCCACCCGGAACCGCACCCTTCCGCCACCCCCTCACCCTCCCCCCACAGCGGCACGTGCGGCCATGAGAAAGAGAGGAGGGGCGGCAGCAGGTTGCTCATACCCGCCACCCCCAAACCCCCACCCCCCTCACTGCTGCACGCGCAACAGGGAGAAAGAGGGGAAGGCGAGCGGCCGAATAGCGGTGTGGCGCAGCAGCGTACCGACCTGCGTCAACCACCCACGCCTCCCCCTTCCCTCCGCCACCTCCTCCCACAGCGGAAGCCGCGGCGACGGGAAGCAGGGCGCCCACGGCGATGCAGGTCGCCCGCGACGACTAGACGCAAGTCGCCCACGGGTGATGGAAAGGAGGTTGCTCGCGGCGACGAGAAGCAAGTCGCCCGCGACGATGGGAAGCAGGTCGCCCGCGGCAACGGGAAGCAAGTCGCCCGCGGCGACGGGAAGCGGGGCAGTAGGGCGTCCGAGGTGACAGGATGCGGGGCACCGTACGGGGCTCGACATCGCATCCGTCGCGGCCGGCACCCTGAGCGCCGTGATGAGCGCCACAACGGGCGCGACGGGTGCTGCGACAAGAAACGCGACAGGGAGCGCCATGGCTAGCGGTGGGCCCATACATTACGAACGTGATAGCTCTGATAACATGTTGAATTAGGTTTGTAACTCAAGCCTTAGTTGCCTAGGGTTGAGGTAGGAAGGTTGAGTGTCGAGGGAAAAACGGTTGGCCAAAGAGGGTGATTCAATATTGAGGAAGGGTACAAATAGGAAAGAACATGGAAGGAAAGAAGGTGCACCACCTACAAAACATAATAACTGCACTACAACTACAAGCAGCTATAAAAAATATAAAACATATTTCGACACTCCAAACCTTTGCCGTTGTGCTACCCGCTCATTACGGTACAAGGGAAACGTTTTACATATATACAAAGGTCTGCTTGTCAAACATTATATATGTTGTGTTAGTTTAGGCTACAGTGGGTCAGCCTAAAGGGGATACACAATTCTAGGGTTAGGTACTTGTACTCATTTCACTGCTAGTTCATTCATTCCTGTTCAGTGATTCCAACAAGGTATAGAGCAGGTCCTTCCTAGGACCGAAATTTTCTAAGGGCCCACCACTACGTAACTACCTACCTACCTGTGCCCTAGGGCGCCTCGGCGTGTCACGCCCCTAGAGGCCCCTCTTGACGGCCCCGCGCCAGCCCCGTTCAGGCCCCGTCGGCCCCTTTAAGGCCCTCGTTCAGGCCCCGCGCTAGTCCCGTTCAGGCCCCGTCGGCCCTGTTTCAGGCCCCGTCGGCCCCGCGCTAGCCCCTCTCAGGCCCCGTCGGCCCGCGCTAGCCCCGTATCAGGCCCCGTCGGCCCCGTTTAAGGCCCCGTCGGCCCCGCGCTAGCCCCTCTCAGGCCCCGTCGGCCCGCGCTAGCCCCGTTTCAGGCCCCGTTGGCCCCGTTTCAGGCCCCGTCGGCCCCGCGCTAGCCCCTCTCAGGCCCCGTCGGCCCGCACTAGCCCCGTTTCAGGCCCCGTCGGCCCCGCGTTAGCCCCTCTCAGGCCCCGTCGGCCCCGCGCTAGCCCCGTTTCAGGCCCCGTCGGCCCCGCGCTAGCCCCGTTCAGGCCCCGTCGGCCCCTTGCTAGCCCCGTCAAGGCCCCGTTTGGCCCCGCGCTAGCCCCGCTCAGGCCCCGATCGGCCCCGCGCTCGCCCCTCTAGGGCCCCAACCCGCCCCGTGCCGACCTCGCCGACCCGTGCCCACCACCTAGAGGCCCCGGGCGGCCCGTTCCCGCCGCAGCACACGAGGGAGAGCGGGCAGCCCGTCCCCGCCGTGGCCCGAGCCGCGCGACCCGAGCCGCGCGCCCCGAGCCGAGCCGCGCGCCCCGAGCCGAGCCGCGCCACCTAGCCGAGCCGCGACCCGACCTGAACCGAGCCGCGCCGCCCTGCCCTACCTGGTTCGTCCTACCTGCTTCTCCTACTACTACTGCTGCTATTTCTACTGTTCCTATGGCTAGTCCACAGGTTCTCGTGTTCGATGCTGAGGGCCGCCCTGTGAAGTTTGACACCTGGCTCGATGACCCGCACCTCTACCTACAGCTCACAGCCAAGGATGACATCTCACTGTACGATCACGCCCTAGGCCATGTCACTGCCCCTGCTGCTACTGCTGACAGCACTGCTCGCTCATAGTGGCAGACTCGTGATGCCCACGCTCGCTTCGCCATTCGCAACTCCCTGCCGATAGACGAACGCGAGCACTTTGGTCAGCACAAGACTGCACAGGCACTGTACACAGCTGTAGTTGCTCGCTACTCCTCACCTGCCTCTGCCGCACTAGGCCGTCTCTCCCTCCCCTACCTGTTTCCCGACCTGGCCTCCTTTCACACAGTCGCTGACCTCATCACGCACCTCCGTACTAGTGAGGCCCGCTTCCGTGCCGCCATGCCTGCTGAGTTCCTTGCCACGCACCCCCCTCCACTCTGGCTCACTCTCTACCACCTAGTCACCCGCCTCCTTGACACACTTCGTGCTGTCAGGGACCACTTCCTAGCTCGTTGCCCCACTGAGCTCACCATTGCCCTCCTCGAGAAGGAGCTACTTGCAGCTGAGACTAGCATAGTCGCTGTAGGTGCCTCTCGTGGCGACCCCCGTACCCCGTTCTTTGAGAGGTGTTCTCCTTCCCCCCTCCTTCCCTCTGTCGCCTCTGCTGCTGCTGTCGACCTTCTTGGTGCTGAGAAGGTCGGCACTGCGTCTGCCTCGAGCGGACGCCGCAGCCGCAAGGGCAAAGGGGGCAAGGGTGGTGGTGGTGACGGCGGGGGAGGCGGCGGTGGGGGCGGTGGAGGCAGTGGGGGTGGTGGCTCGGCTGGAGGGGCGAGTGGTAGCGGTGGGGGTGGTGGCGGCAGCGGCGGGGGAGGTGGCAGGAGTGGAGGCAGCGGTTGGGGTGGCGGTGGACGAGGCGGCGGCAGGGGTTGGGGTGGTCGAGGAGGTGGCAGCGGTGGTGGTGGCCGTGGAGGCACTGACGGTGGCCAGGGCCAGCAGCACACTCCCTCGCCCCAGGAGGTCCGTGAGTGGTACTCTGAGCACGGGGGTGGGGGTGGTCTTAGCTGCACGTACGTCATTCGCACTGGTGACCGCACTGGTCAGCAGTGAGGACGACCGCACGCCACACAGCGCTGCTTCTCTTGTCTTGACGAAGCTTGGCGTGTTCAGTTCCCTCAGGCCACTAAGCTACCCCGCTGGCTTGATCTCCTGAAGAAGGAGATTGATATCTATGCTCTAGACTTTGATGCTATTCTATCTGCCATGTATGTGATGTCTACTACTGGAGAGGGTGCTGAGTACTTGTGTGTGCCGCCTGACCCGGGCATTAGGGCTAGTGCGTCTGCCGCTCCAGGTACTCGCGTGTCTGCTACCCCTGGTGCTGGTGAGGCTGCTGCTCTAGGTGCTCGTGTGTCTCCCCCCTTGGTACTGCGTCGACTGCCGCACTGCACACCTTCACACTGGACTCAGGTGCTTCTCGCTGCTTCTTTCATGACCGCACTGCCCTTGAGCCGCTTGCTGGGCCAGTTGCTGTCTCCCTTGCTGACCCCTCTGGGGGTCCGGTCATTGCGACCTCTTCAACTGTCCTTCCCTGCCCTGCGGTCCCGTCGGGCACACTGTCAGGTCTCCACCTCCCCTCGTTCTCTACAAACTTGGTGGCAGGATGTGCACTCCAGGACGGGGGTGTTCACCAGTTCACCCCTGCCTACGAGCGCGTGACACATTGCACGTGTGCTCGTACGGGCCGTCACTTGGCTACCTTCACTCGGCAACCGGGGTCGGACCTGTACACACTGACTACTGAGTCCCCTCAGGTTGCTTCGACTGCGTCCGCGTCCGTGTCAGGTCAGCTGTCCGCCCCCTGCTCGTGTCGCTCTTTGGCACACGAGACTGTCCTCTGGCACCACCGCCTTGGCCACC